GCATCGGAGAAAAGTAAGCATATTAGCATTCCATTTCAGTTAGTTTTCAACATTTGACGTTGTCGCCACAGCCGCTTCCCGCGTCGAACAGTCGTTGAACAAAAAAAAAAAACAACGTCTACGAAAAAAAAAATTTTGTGGAATAATCGCTAAATAGTAAATGTAATTGGAAATTTTTAAGATTAAAACAAATATTTATTGTATTGACTATGTTTGGAAAATGTTTGCGCTACGTTTTCTGAGTGAAATTTGTGAAAAATTAACCATACGCTAAGCAGCTGGCCACACTTCTATAAAAACAACAATAACTCGCGCAGTTACAGAAAAGTGTCAATGACAAAATGCGAAAGAAACAAAAAGGAAAAAAGCATAAATAAAGCCACAAGCTGAAGACGTAGACTTAAGTAAAAAGTTGTATTTTTTTCCACTGAGAGCGAGAGCGTAAAAATTTACTGTGTGTGTGCGTGCGTGTGCAAGTGCTTTGCATTGTGTGTGGTTGGTTGTATATGCGTGCGTGTGTGGGCGATGCGTGGTTGTGATTAACATTGAGTATTTTACTAACTGTAAAAAATCTTGCAAATGCAAAATATGTAACGAAATGGACGGACACACGCTATTAAAAATGCAGCGCATTGTAAAAAGATTTCCCGCGAGTGTTTTCTCATGCGCTAGCTCTCTGAGCACTCTCGCTCTCTCTTTTACGCTCGCTCTCTCTTGTTGCTTTGTGTCTTGTCAATGCATCAGTTTGTCAATTGATTCGCCGTACAAAAACAAGAAGAACAAAATTCAACCCACTTCCCTAGGGCCTTCATACTACATACGCTTGCAGAAAATGACTCACAATCCGTAATTGCGGCTTCGGTTTTTGTTTTGTTCGCGAAATGTATTTGGCAGAAATTATGGTTATATTCTAGTTGTTTTGTTTTGCTTTGCACCCTTTGGAAGTTGAGTGACCCGCATTCTCTATTCGCTATCGATGTATCTGTATTGTGTTTATCTAGGCCTGCCCGGGTTTCGCTTCTTACTATTTTTAAAGCTGCTTCCAATTGGCATTTGTTTATGTTGCGGCGCATGTTGGCCGATTTAATGGGACACACCTCACTTTAGGGCCACGGATGGGAGAGGGGCAACCCCCCTAAAGGGCAGGGCACACCTTGAGTCATTCTGCATCGTATTTAAATAATGTCGCATTCGTTGCCGTCATTTCCCTTCCGCTTTTGTTTGCAAAGGTGAAGCACAAAGAACAAGAGACAACAGATTTCAGATGCTTTCTGGGCATTATGCGCTGCACATACGCAAATATTGGGGAACATTGATACAGAGAAGCGTTATGTAAAACAAATGAATAACAAAAATATGTTAAATTATCAGGAATATATGTATTTTTTAACAAATTCAGGCATTTTTTTCCTTATCTTATCTTCAAATATTTCAAAATATTTGTGGCAAACTAATTCATTTAGAAATTATTGTTCATTGCACATTAATAATTCTCCTATGTCTCAACAACTTTCTACGCCAATAATTGTCATGTGCCATTATTTTTTCATTTTTGCTTTATCTATGCGACTTATAGCCCAGTCGCTATACATTAATATATTTATAAAGAGTGATCCTCAAATCTGATATAATATAATGAGTTCTATTTATGTATTTCCATTTGTGATCTAACTTTTGTATTTATCTATTCTCTTTTTCATTGAACAACAACAAATTGCACGCGCATGGTCTCATAACTTCCACACACGATCTACACGCACGTTCCACCTCCAAAGTTATACTCAATTCATCTGATTTCGATTATCTGTACACAAAAGGCAGCAACAATGCGCCCGTCGATCGGAGCTCTTTGCTTTTGAAATTTGATCCACTTTTGGGTGCTCCGGTGCCAGTGAATCAGTTGCCGCAACAGGAGCAAGCATTGCTCAACAAACTCAGCAACAACAACAATTTAGCACGGGCATTGAGTCCCACCTTAGAGGAGCACGAAACAAGCGGCAGCAACCACTCATTTGCAAGCGAATCAAGTGCCAAAGGAGCCACTGGAGCTCAAAAGGATTTCAAGCCGCCAGTGGATAGAACAAAAGTGAGTTGTGTATGCCAATTGTCTGTTATAAATAACACTTTAAATCGTATCTCTTCCTTGCAGAAACATGCTAAAATGAGTGTGGACGTTATCGATAACGATTGCAACAAAACCTTCGATAATTCAAGGTGGGTAAAGCAACAATTTAAACATCTTGAATGCATTTGTAATATACTTTATTTTATTTATTAGTCTGAACTCGGAGGAAAAAACACACAAGTACCACAATATGGATGAACTGGAGAAGAAAATCAAAAATGAAGTGTAAGTAGTAATAATCCCAAATATGCGAAAAATAATATAAGAAAGAAATGGTCTTTTAGCACCCGCTCCGAGGACATTGAAAAAAAACTCAAAGAGGCCGAACAGCGCGAAGAGGCGCTGGTCAAACGGATTACAGAAAAGGATAAAATAAATGCAAAACTCAAGTGAGTTATATCTGAATTATATTGGACTTGAAAGAGAATCACTAAACTTACAATCCACACATACAGCGGCGTCATTGAGGCCTACGAGAAAGCGATCGCAGAACTTATACATGACAAGGAGCAGTTGGTGCAAAACCATGAAAGGCAAATGCAGGAAGTGCAAGCAGATCGTGATGCCAACTATCATCACTTAACGTCGCTGGAAACGACATTCTCAGATCTCCATGTGTAAGCAAAAAGAATAATAAGAATAATAATATACATATATACTAATCTTATTGCTATCAATTGATAATTATAGCAAGTACGAAAAAAGCAAGGAGATGACCGCTCACCTGAAGCAGATCGAGGAGAACCTGCTGGAGGAGAAGAAGAGATCACTGGATAAATTGCGACAGCAGGAGCAACGATATGAGCAAATGAAAAGCCATGCCATGCAGCAAATGGAAATGTATATAAATTCTCAACCATTAGCTAATCGTCAAATTAACACACCTCTTTCTCTCTCTCTCCCTTAATTCTCTATGAAGTGCCAACAAAAAGCTGGCCCTTCTTACAAAAGAGCACGCGGATGAAATGAAAAAGTTGAAAGCTTTACTCAAAAAGGAGGAAGTGTCGCGCATTTCAACGGCAGAGCAACTGCAGCAAAAATCAAGGGAGAATGCGGATCTGCTAAAGATATGCGAGGAGCTTATCTATGATAAGGGACAAGGTGGTAGTAGTTAAACTTCACCCGAGTGGATTATTTTGCGGCCTGAATGTATTTTCTACATATATTTTACGCTGTTAACGCGCACACATACATGCTCTCTCTCACAACCATACACACATAGAAACACTCACATACTACGGCATGTGGAACGCATGTTTGTCGCATGTTCATTCACCCATTCGCGTACTATCTCATTACATTTTGTAATTTTTGTTGTGTGCTCTCGTGAATTGATTGAGAACTTCATATTAAATCTCAATTATTAAGCTGTCGTCTATTTTGAACTGGAGGACTCTCCCCAAACACTATGTCTAACTATTCATATATATGTATATTGTACTACTTCTAGATTTTTAGTTTACACACACAACACCAGCAACAACAACAGTAGCAGTAACAGTGCGCCGAGCTGCAAATGAGTTCCACACAAAAGTCGAAATCCACACACTCGCCTCACTGCTGGGTGTTCGCTCCCCTCTCCTCAAAATGTTACTAATTTCTTTCGAATCTGCCCTTTGTTAAAGTTTCATGATATTAATATGTTATTTGCTGAAAATTCGAGTTGATTTTCATGCTAAATATCAAATAATACTTTTCCCCATACACAAACAGACACACTCACATACTTTGAATTGTTTGTTGTGTTTTATTGATTGATGAAAATTTGAAAGAAACTTGGCAACAACTAAAATAGAGATGAAAACAGCGTACGCTCGAGGCGTGCCTTTATTAATTGTTTAAGTTTAATGTTAGTTTAATTTAAATTAAAAAATTTGTAATAATTGTATTAAGCTTGAAATTCTGTATTACATAATAGTACTAAAACAAATCAAAGCATAGAAAAAACCATAACGAATCATTACAAAAAAGAAAAAAAACTATTTATGCATTAAAGAAAAAATCTAATTTTTTGTTTCAATTACAGCTTTATATGAATTTTCATTTGCCTTGCACTGAGAGTGTTTGCCTTAGAAAAGCAATAGTCAAATTTAAAAGGACCGCGTGTGCTTTAAGAGATCCTCGAACCCTCCTTTTCCATATCCTTGTCCACCTCTCCAAACACGCGATCCATACAAATTTCGAGCATCTTCTATTGTAGCACGCTTTGTAGAGACAACACCGCCTCTAAGAACTATAAATGAATTTTACTTCCATTTATGACATTTATTAAGATGTAAGAAGCTGAGAAACAGAAGAGAGAAAATAACCTTACAAAGTTGTTAACACACACAAATAAACAAAAGAATTGTATACAAACATTTGTACCCAGTCCATGTAATCGAATATTATGCTACTATACCAACATATATAACGGTATACATATACTATATATTTTTCTAAAATTGTAGCATTCATTAACACTCGCGCTTTAAAAAAAATTGAAAACCTTTGAGAGAAAAAGAAAACGCAAATTCATTTTGTTGTTTGAGATTTAAAATAAGAAGAGGAAATGATATATATCAATGCGCTGTAAAAAATACACATAATATATAGTATTAACGACGTGCTGGCACATTCATAATATGTGCAGCGGCATGTGCATGTAAAGGTGATGAACAAGTTGCATAATTCAATAAATACAAAATATGTACGAGTAATGGTAAAAGAATTTTTATTTGTATTTTCAAACTGAGCAAAGCCACAAATGTGGCAACGCTGCCCCCAGCTTTTCCGGCAGCCTTTTGTTATCAATGTTCTATATTATGTGTGGCAACGCTGGTAACAGCTGATCTACGATCTTGAACCGTCCTTCTCTCTCACTCTTATCAAACGAAAACAAAACAACTGAACAGAAACTAAAAGCTGCGCATTTGAAGCCAATCAAGTGCTTACATAATCTAATCAACAGCTCACACTTCACGTCATGAATTTCGCCGGCAAAGTTGTGCTCATCACAGGAGCCAGTTCCGGCATTGGCGCTGCCACAGCAGTGAAGTTTGCCAAATACGGCGCTTGCTTAGCTCTCAATGGACGCAATGCAGAGAATCTGAAGCAGGTGGCGGAACAATGCAGTGCAGTTGGTGGCGCAGCACCAACGCTTGTTGTTGGAGACATCAGCAAGGAAGCGGATACGGATCGTGTATGGCAGCAAACACTCCAGAAATATGGGAAGCTAGATGTTCTAGTCAACAATGCGGGCATTCTGGAGTCGGGAACCATTGAGAACACCAGTCTGGAGCAATACGACCGTGTGATGAACACCAATTTACGTGCCATCTACCAACTGACAATGCTCGCCACACCAGAGCTGATCAAGACCAAGGGAAACATTGTCAATGTATCCAGTGTGAATGGGATTCGCTCCTTTCCCGGCGTGCTCGCCTATAACATCTCCAAAATGGGCGTCGATCAGCTGACACGCTGCGTCGCCCTGGAGCTGGCAGCTAAAGGTGTGCGTGCCAATTGCGTGAATCCCGGCGTGACGGTCACAAATCTCCACAAGCGTGGCGGCATGGATGAAGTGACGTACCAAAAGTTCCTAGAGCACTCGAAAACCACACATGCCTTGGGTCGACCCGGCACCACAGAAGAGGTGGCGAATGCCATTGCGTTTTTGGCCAGCGATTTGGCTAGCTTCACCACGGGTGTCAGCCTGGCTGTGGATGGCGGCCGCCATGCCATGTGCCCGCGTTAATCATATTCAAGGAGTGCACCGAAATTCAGAATTTATGCATTTATTTTGTGACTGTCAAATAAAGATGTTTTCAAGTAAAGTGAATATCCTATTAAAAGCCGTATTAACTTAAACCTAAAGATAAAGCGGGTGAAGATCAAGGCGCCTGCCTGCCGTTAATTAGAAGAGTCCCATCGGATAAACTAGAAGTCCGACTAGCTTTTGCCTAGTAGGAATTCGTACTAGAATTCTTAGTTTTTTTTTCACAGAAAAGCTGTCATTTCAACCAGAATGTAGCCCAATTGGATGTATGACACATTTGTTCCAATTGGAATACTATATAATCAAATTAGATAGTCATCTGCGTATTAATAAATGCTTTTCATTTTATTCGCATGATGTTCATTTCATTCTAGCTTTTATCGTGGGCACATAGCATGACGACCTCCATCAACGGCCAGATTAACGCCTGTGGTAAAGCTGGCATCGTCGCTGGCGAGGAATGCGATTGCAGCAGCTACTTCCTCGACATTGCCGGGGCGACCCAGTGCATGCGTTTCCTTGGAGCGCTCCAGGAACTTTGCATAGTTTTCATCATTGAGACCGCCACGTTTCTGTAGCTCCGTGATAATCACGCCAGGATTGACGGAATTAACGCGTACGCCCTTGGGGGCCAGCTCCAGGGCAACACACCGCGTGAACTGATCCACCGCGGACTTGGACATGTTGTAGGCGAGCACGCCGGGAAATGCGCGCAAGCCACAGACACTGGACACATTGACAATACTGCCCTTCGTCTTGATCAGCTCCGGTGTGGCCAACATGGTCAGTTGGTACACCGCACGCACATTGGTGTTCATCACGCGGTCGTACTGAGCCAGAGATGTGGTCTCAATGGTGGCCATTTCGATGATGCCGGCATTGTTGATCAGCACATCCAGTCTTCCATACTGCTTCAACGTGGCTGCCATAATCTGCTCTACATCCGCCTCTTTGTCCATGTCCGCTTGCACCTGCAGTGCCGGCGCACCGCCCACAGACAGAATATTATCCGCCGTTTCTTTCAGTTTTTCCACATTGCGGCCCACAATTACCAAAAGGCCGCCGAGGCTGGCCAGGTGTACGGCAGTGGCTGCACCAATGCCAGAGCTGGCACCTGTCACAATGATTACCTTATCTTTGAAATTTGGCATATTTATGCTGCGCTAGGTGATGCGACTGGCTTTAGTAGTGGCTCAATCACTAATGATTCGGCCATTTGACATTGATGTTGTCAGTAGGCAGAAAGCCGATAAGAATTCATTCGGTGAGTCGAGCCAGTGTTGCCGATCACGCAAAAGGTAGCAAGAATAATTAGATAAATTCAAGTTCAAAGTTGTGAAATTCGAATCGAATTCAAGTCGATAACAAGTTAAATCAATAAACCACTATTTTTGTTTTTGCTCTCACTCGTGCTAAATTTAAATCGTGATTAAAGTCGCTAATTGAGTTGTATATGCTGAGTATTGCTACTATTTTTAATAAATGCCAAAATATACATGCTTTAAGATACAATTTTAACGTGGGCACATGGCGTGTCGGCCGCCATCTACGGCTAGGGTTACTCCCGTAGTAAAACTGGCAGCATCGCTGGCCAAAAACGCAATCGCTGTGGCTACCTCCTTTACGTCACCGGGCCGACCCAAGGCATGCGTAGTCCTCGAATGCTCCAAAAATTGTTGATAGGTTGCCTCGTCCATTCCACCACGCTTGTGTATTTCTGTGATAATCACGCCAGGGTTGACGGAGTTCACACGCACGCCCTTGGCAGCCAGCTCCAAGGCGACGCAGCGCGTGAACTGGTCCAGGGCTGCCTTAGAGATGTTATAAGCTAAAACGCCGGGAAAGGAGCGTATGCCGTTCACGCTGGACACATTAACAATGTTGCCCTTGGTCTTCACCAGCTCTGGTGTAGCCAACATGGTTAGCTGGTAGACAGCACGTACATTGGTGTTCATCACGCGATCGTACTGACCCAAAGAAGTATTCTCAATGGTACCTCTTTCTAATATCCCCGCATTGTTGACCAGCACATCGATACGTCCGTGCTTAGCCACCGTAGCCTTAACAATTTGCTCCACATCCGCTTCCTTGTCCATGTCCGCCTGCAGCTGCAGCGGAGCAGCGCCACCAGCAGCCAGAATATTATCCGCTGTCTCCTTTAGTTTGTCCACATTGCGGCCAACGATGGTGAGCAGGCCACCCAAACTAGCTAGATGGACAGCTGCCGCTGCTCCAATGCCAGAGCTGGCGCCGGTCACAATAATTACTTTGTCCTTGAAAGTCGACATCACAAGCTGCGATCCAAACGACCTATGGCAGGTGGTATCGATAATAAGCTAGAACGATAGCCTTATAAGCACAGCTGATTTTGTTGAGAAAGCTTTCTCCGATCAGCTGTGCAAAGCTTTCCACTTGCCACTCCGGAACCCAACTGATTGGAATGTAATAAACAAGTTCCACTATTGTTTCTAAATTTTGTTGTTATAATATCAAACGAATTGCACTGTTTTTTTAAACTTAGATGTTGTTTTTATTCTCTTTAAAAAAACCGCTACGAATATGAAAAAAATATTGTTGTTGTGTGGGCGCTTCTTAAGACTCGTAGCCATATGACTTGATAATCTTGTTGAAGGGTTCAGCAGCCTTGGCAATGTTCTCGCGCGCCTTCGCTGTCAACTTCTTCATCTCTCTGTTGTGCTTGAGGGTGATGCGGAGCTTGGATTTGCGCTTGCGCTCCAAACTCTTGATCACATCCTGGTAATGCCAGCCCACCTCGTGCGACAGACGTCCAACCTGGCAGTATTTACGGTCGGAACGCAGGGTCAGCACGCGCAGAGCAATGGGTACAACAACACGGCGACGCTTGTCGTAGGGCGATGGAATACCATCGAAGACACGCAGACGAGCGAGAGCAGCCTGGCCACGCTTGGTCTTGTGTGGGATCATGCCTGGAATGCCAAAAGAATATATATTAGCGAAATATTCAATGGGTATTATATAGATATTAAAGTGACTGTAGGGATCAGTTGTTTGTTGGTTACACGATTTCTCGTTCAAATAATGTAGGTAAGATATTAATTAATCATCATGGTAAGAGCTGAACCTGATCAGCTAAGGTTGCACAAACGTACCTGCAATAAGAATAACAACAATTAGTAAAGGTTTATAGCTTACAAATATTTTATAGAATATTAGAATTGTCTGCACTCAGTTCGGTTTTGTTTACACGGCTTTTCTCTACGTTCAAATAATGTAGGTAATAAATTTTGCACATCATGGTCAACAACAAACTGTGAGGCTTGACATAACTTGACTTGACCATAACGCACCTCGTACAGCCTTGTAGAAAATTCTGGATGGAGCACGGAAGTGGAAGGGACCACGCGCTGGGTTAACGTTGCAGCGTTTGCGCAAATAGGCCAAAAACTTAATTTTGTTTCTGTAGAAGTGACCAGAAAGGTTCAGCTCCTCGCAACGCACAACAGCCACCTTGCCGCCTTGCAACAGGTACTTGGCTACCACGGAGGCCAGGCGGCCAAGCAAATGGCCGCGTCCATCGATAACAACGGTCTATAATAAAAACAAATTTGTTTTAGCATTTACAACAAAAAATTAGGTTATGTTGAGCGACAGGGCATAAACAAATGTGTGCAGATTCATAAAATAGATAATTGAATTTCACATATCCATTTGGTATCAACAACAAAATTTAAAGCACTTGCTCCTCACATGCAACTATCCATTTTAAGTAGCACTTCCGCGCCTGCCATTTTTTTGACTGGGATTGGGCACGTGTACACGAACACAACTTTTATGAACTAAAACACAACGCTACATCACAGTTTAAGTCCACAATAATGCACATTTATACATAGCACACAGTTTCATGAGTATTTTGCACACATTTGTAACATTGCCCCATCCCGCAAACATAGTTTTATTTGCCAAAATTCTGGCACTTACCCTATTCGTTAAACCAGTCATGTTTAAGAACCGCACGGAAAGAAAGCGGAAACAGCTTTGACAGCTCAAGCGTCATACAGCAGGGTTGCTTTGACCAGTTGCATAGAAACAAAAGCTCCTTGATACAGGTATGAAATCGCTATTGTTGACAATCGTATATTATCGATTACTAATTTTGATGTATCGTTTTATTTTTTTGTGTATGGTCACTCCGTTTTAAGATTTATTGTTAGGTGTATTTTAGACGGCGGCCAAAGCGGATCGTTTGGCTCTCGCGGTGCCAATTTGTTTACAATAAAACTAAATGAGACGAAAATATAAATAAATATTTATTGAAAACGTGCTACCAAGCAATATTAATGCAAATTTAACGCGTGTGTGTGTGTGCTTGTGCAAAAAGTGTGTTAAGCACACAAAGATCTAAGTAAAGAGCTTTGTGTCCGTGTGTAGGTGTGTGCTCTTATTCTGTTCAATTTGCCCCCCAAATCAGAAACAACAAATAAGCAATAAACCAACGGGATCAGCAGCATAGCAGCGACGTCGGCATCAGCACTAGCAGAACATCGACGATTTAAAAGTCAACACCTTATAAGGCAAGTCTTTATTTTATTATAAATGTATATGCTCCGGAGGGGAGGGCGGGGGCAGGTTGCTCATTGGCATACAAATTTTAATTGTGTTAACATGCCGACAATGTTGTTTGATACAATAATGCAGTATTATTCTTGCTATTTGATTAAATGCAATTTATTAAATAAAAAAAATTGTTGAATAGCTAAAAAAAATCTCTCGTTTCCTTTCTCTCTCTCTCACACACACACTCCCTTGAGCTGACCCGTTTAACTATCTTTTGACGTTATGCCTTTCCCCCTATTTTCGGAGGCGCAAGTTTTCATCCGTCTTGTGGTTTACTTTTTCCTTTTGCTAATTTTTAAATTGGGTCAATGCATGCGTTGGACAATTTACTTGTTTTTCTTTTCAGCGTTCACCTCACATGTCTTTTGGTTGTTTTGTGTTGGTTTGTTGTTGTCGAACCAGTTTCTTAACCTTGTTTCCTCTCCAAGTGCAATTGTCGCTTGACTCTTGCTTTTTGACAATTTGAATGTTCTACTTTTTCGCGACAAAATTCGGTGGGTTTGAGTGTGTGTGTGAGTGTTTGTGTTTTGGTTTGTGTTGCCAATGACAACTTAATAGACGAACGCTGGCTTTATAACGGCATTAATGAGATTTGCTGAATTATGTTCAGCTAACATGCGAAGGAAAAATAGACACAAAAACAAAAACAGAAAATGGAATTCTTTTTTTTTATGTATTCAATATAGTGAAATTAAATGCGTGTTCATTATATCAACGCCTAGCAACAAACACTCCTTTTCTTTATTCGTGTCACTCTTCGGTCACAAAGGAAAATGATGACTCCTAACTCTCGTATGCATATGTATTGATAAATGCGTGTGTATGCATATTGTGGACTCAAAGTGCTTTTTATAGGATTTATAAAATTCCAATCAGAGTCTCAGTGATAAAAGAGAACGATCAGCTGATCAGCTCAGTGCCGTTGCCAGTGGTGGTAAACGTTACGATTTGTCGCGCTGCTGATTAACGTGCTAGAAACATGTGAAACAACAAGAATATAATTTAATTCTAAATGTAAGTATAWAATATATTTATGTATATAAACGGGCTGTATTTTATTTAATCTTGCAGATGTCTAACTTGAACTTCTATGAACTGCTTAATGCGAACGCAACGGCAACATTTGAAGAGCTTAAGCGCAATTATAAGCAATTAATACTACAATGTCATCCCGATAAATTACAACAACAACAAACTGTAGCTGTAACTGTAACCGCGAACGAGAGCGACCCCAATCGAGAGAGCGACAATAATTTCAATGCGATAAACGAAGCCTGGAATACGCTTAAAGATCCCATAAAGCGTAAACACTATGATGCCGAATTATTGCAGTCGAAGTTTGAAAAACACAACAATATCTATGCCAGCGTAACGCTAAGCGACATGCACAGAACTCGCGTCGAAATGGCTGAAGACGACGAAGAGGGGGAGAGTGAGAATGAGAATGAAATCGAGACAGACAAAGAGTCGGCAACAACAACAGCACCAGCAGCAGCAGCAAAGTGGAGCTCGGCCTATGCGTATGATTGTCGCTGCGGCGGACAATACGTGCTGCTGGACGATGAGTCACAAAGAGAGCAGCAGCCGAGGGCAAGTGAAATGATTGTCGAGTGCAGCGAATGTTCTCTAGTGATAATTGTGAAACCAGACGCAAATATATCATAAAACTGTAATACCCACATATACATATATGTAAATAAATTGTAAAACCAAACCGTTCTTTTATCGTTTGTGGCTTTAAATAGGAAACAATAGCAATATTGATTCGAGCTATCGAATTAAGCGCTGATTGTTGTCGCTTTTAATCAGTTTCTTGAACCTTGGGCCCAGCGACTCATTTTTATATGCACGCAAAACTGGTTGTATCGTGCATACTTAATGCCCTTCCTTTCTTTTCATTTCTTGTTGCTTGCCCAACGCCAAAGCACACCAAATGAAATGATGTAATATTTTGGTATCGTGTACACATAATTTGGGATTGCAGTCACTGTCAACCATTTTTCATTTCCGTTGTGCAAAATAAACGTCTTTATTAATGCTGTTTATGTCTCTGACGCGTGTGAATTGTCTTCGGGTGTTATGTGGGCCACATTCAAATTGCCAAATGCGATTAGGTCTAGCCAAAAAAACGAGAAAAACCGATAAAACTGCTTCCCCCACTCAGGCGTAATGTGGCAGCTTATGCGGGTTAATTTTGGGTTGTGTTGCTCCACTGTGCAGTTAAATTGATGCTGTTCATTTAATTTCACGTCTCTTTCTACACAGCTGTTTGAAGTTGGATAGTATTTTTAACTGAACAGCAAAGTTTGTTGACTTTTTCTGTCGAATCGCTTAAGTTCTAGAAATGGCTACAAATAACAGTTTTCAACAGTGAACCGTTACCTCAACTAAATCCATTTTAGATATGTGTACATTCGTACATATATTTATTACGGCTATTTACACACATTTAAGCGGCTTTTGTGGTGTATGTATTTTAACGTAATTACTGTCAAATATTTTTTTTTTTTTTACATACAATACATATATTTTTCGAATTCGAATAACCTCGCCTTGCTTTTACTGATCTGATGATGTCAGCGTGCACAAAAATACAAATATAAACATTTACCTCTATACGCTACACGCTCACTGGCAATTTTATATTGGTTTATTGTATATTATTGCAAAGTAATTTGCATGCTGTTTTCCTCTCCTAACAGCTCTCTTGGCTATCGCTTGCTCGCTCGCACATGTTTAGTGCATAAGTGCGTGTGCTTTATTGATAATTAGCGGTGTCTGAGCTTTCGTTTTCAGCTCGATACAAGTAGCGACTCGATTTCCACTTATTAATTCCGCCGACTGACGTGGAAAACAAAAGCGACTTAGCATGAACTAAGACACGTGCAATTGTGCTCTATTGTGTATATGTGTGCGTTTACGTTTATCTCTTTAGCATCTCTTACTTTAATAACCTTTTGACACACAAAAATTGAAACGCTTTAGCGGCTTCAGTTCCTGTAGATGTCTCTCTCTCTCTCCCCTTTCTTACTCTCTTTTCTCCATCTCTCCTACTACTATTGTTACGTACTGTTGTTGTGACACGCGCTACGATTTTAAAGATAGCGGCCGTGTGTAAATGTGTATGTATGTGTGCAATGGCCCACACATTATTAAAACGAACTCAGATTCAACACTAGCTCCAGCTCCGACTCCAGCTCCAGCTCGTCAACCGTCTCCGTCTACCACTTTCATTTCGTTTTCACTGCGCATTAAAGACGCTCGAGCAGCTTTAATTGCCCAAGAAAATGGCAGAGACAAACGAAACATAAAACACCGGCTGCAAATAAGAGACAAAAAAAAAGTAACAACAACTAACACGCGTTAGGTTTTTTGTAAAGAAAGCCCAAGAAGTTTGTGGGCCAGGAAATTGCGTGCAGCCAGGCGACAGACTGTTCGACAGTCTGTCATTGATACGAACTGTTATATAGTATTCTGTTATACAGTATTCTGACAATTGGTAAAAGAATGAAAAGTTCATTTTGAAATGAGCATTCAACCAGTATTGTAAAGCTTTCAAAGATGCTATTTTAAAATTTTGCAATGCCACAGAAAATATTCAATTAAATATATATTTTATTTTGCATAAATTGTTAAGTGCATGTCTGTCCATCGAAATGATTCACACACATATGTATTTATTGATTCAGCTGAATTGTGAAAGAACAGCCAAAGAAAACCGCAAAATGATATTCATAAGTGAGTGAGTGATAAAGGCAAATGCAGCTTGCCCACTGCCTGTGCCAGTGCCGGAGTAGGTCTTTTCTGTTGTTTCTTTTTTTTTATTGTTATTAAGCTATTGTTGTTGTTGTTGTTTTCTCTCTCTTTCATTTTTTTTTTTTTACCATACTGCTCACAATCTTTTCTTTTGTCTACGCTTTGTGTCTTTCTTTCGATTTTAATTACACAAAAGTGCCAATTAATTGTTGCTTTTATTTCAAACCTCGGAGGCACAGTCAGTCTCATTTGGAATTGTGTTCTGCATTTCAACAGTTTCGTCTCGATTTGAAGGTGTTGTGCGGATTGTGCGTGGCCTGGTGAAAAGATGGCAACAATTGGAGCGGATCGAGAGGAACATTTAAAGTACAGTGAATGCTCTATTAACGAACCAAATCCAACTTGTATTTACTTTGAATGAAAGGCAATCTAACCTATATCTTAGCCAGATCTTCATGGCAGTTTTCACTGTTTAACTAATCTGATTCTGCCTCATTGTTATTTTCCAGGCAAGCGCGTGCTCCACGCCAACGCAAAGACTTCAACCTGGCCGGAAGCGGAAGTGTCAAACCCAACGGCAACAACAACAATAACAACAACCACAACAACCTTTATAAGACTGAGCAACGGCCGTCCAAAAAGGCAGCACAAAAAATGGCATCTACTGGCGAAATTTGGCTGCAATGGTTCTCATGCTGTTTCCAACAGCAGCGCTCCCCTTCTCGCCGACCTCATCAACGCCTGCGAATCGATCGCTCGATGATCGGGAATCCTACGAATTTCGTGCACACCGGACACATTGGATCCGCCGATGTGGAGCTGTCCGCCAATCGGCTGAACGCGATCTCAACTCAAATGCAGAGCAAGGGCGGCTATGAGACAAACTCGATACATTCGCTGCACGTAAGTCGTTGCTACAGTGAATCACTGGAATGGGGGGCGGTGGAGTGCTGCACAAGTAGAGATCTACTTGGATGGATTGAGTCATCCATTTGAGTTTCTGCTATTGTTGGGTACATTTAATGTGCGAATCACGCTGATTGCAATTCGAAACGTTAACACTTAGCACCGACGTAAGGTGACAACCATTGGTTGGTGGTTACGGTGGTTTCGTTGTCGTTGTTGTTGTTACATTTACAGTTGTTGTTGTCCGTTCAAGGTGTAGCCAAATGACAGCAGAGTCTTCAACTTAATTCAGGCTTAGCTTAAATATATTTCATTCAGTTCAACAAAATCAATTATAACTATGGAGGGAAAAGCTCTGATTATAATATATAAAAATAATTTATGTCACCAATCTTTATGGAAAGCTTCTAGCCTTAGTCATTAAATTTAAGCTGCATCTGATTTATATTAACTCAAAATTAAGTTTAAGGCTAAAGCAAAGACGCCAAGTTGACAACTTTTTTTTTGGCCCGATAAGCAGCGGGTTGAGTTGTTAAACTTGATAAACAATTGGATTGCCTCGTCCCAAAAGACAGACAGGCCAAGCTCAAGAGGTCGATGCTCTCTACCCCAGAGGCAAACATCAGGTGTTGTTATGTATATGTGTGTTTGTGTGATTAAGATCCACACCCAAGTTTAGTCGAAATGTTCAATTAAGTTTCATGGCATTAGTATTAGTCGCATTTGTCTACATACGTTCATGCCATGCAACCATTTGGTGATAAGATCTCCGCCTGCTGCACTGACAGCCAGTCCAGGTTCGTTCGTGTCGTAGCTCTCTTTTATTTCAAGTATTAAACAATATCAAGTGCCCGGCCCCAGTTCTAGCTGTGGCCACGGTCTAGTACATCACTTAAACTACAGACGACAACAACAACAACAACAATAAATGATTAAATGTACAGTAAAAGCTCTCGGTGGTGAACAACGTGAACTTAATTTTTCACCAGACTGATTAAGGACTCTGTTTGCTCAGCTCACAAGCTGTTTATTTGCGAAACATGTTCGTTATATTGAGCCCTCACTGTATGTGCATATATTATCATTCTTTATTTATTTCTCTCGCCTTGCAGGCCTGCTGATGGAAAACCTCCACAACCAACGGCTATTAAAAGCATTTTGTGCAATTTTCTTCAAAACAACAACCAAAGTCGAAGAAGAAGAAAAATATAATAACTATAAAGGAAATACAGCAATCTTGTATTTAAATAATTGTTTGTTAAACGCGAGCGTGTTATCAGGCAGCGATGGTGACTAATCGAAGGAGGAGATGGAGGAACCAACTGCGTGGTTGCTGACAACGGAAATAGGTTCCACACACCAAGAACAACAACAAGAAGACGAATAAGAAGCATGTGGAATATGAGAACTGACAATGGACTCCATAATGTACCAGCTACTATTTACATAAAGATCAGGCGAATTAGCTATAAGTCGGTACTCTAAACCGAGAACTGTGTAGACATAAGAACTGTGTATGCCCTTTTTGTGAGTATTATATAGATGAAAAATCACAAAAAATGCAAATTTGTAATCTAAAAACAGTTCACAGTGAATCCAAAGTTGGTTTTTTTTTCGGTAATACATATTGTACTTAATGCCAAAACCAGATCAGTTAAGATCATTGTGCAGTTTATTTTTTCCTATAGAGCATGCGACATGCAAACAAAATATGAATAGATGTAACATCATTTTCCATTGTAAAACCCAGAGAACACAACTGCCTTATTTCAAATTGCGTAATGCCACACTGATCGAGATGGTAGATATATTTATATATA